GGCGGGGGCAGGTCGCGGGCCTGACGGCGAGGCGCGCTGCGTCCGTAGAGTTCCTGCTCGGCGGCGGGGGCGGTGCCCAGGGCGGTGCGGGAGCCGAGTGCCGCCCCCAGGACTGTCGCTCGGGCTGCCCCCCGGGTTGCTCGCCGGGCTGCCCGCCGGGCTGCCCGCCGGACTGCGGGGCCGCCTGCCCACCCGGGTGCACGGGCTGCCCTCCCGGGTGCCCGCCCGGGTGCCCGGACGCGGTCGGCGCGGGCTTCCCCGTGCCGGCGCCGAGGACGTACCGGGAGACACAGACCTTGCCCTTCCCGATCCCGCGTAAGCAGCAGCAGCAGCAACAGCAGCAGCAGCAGCAGCAGCAACAGCAGCAGCAGAGCAACAACAACAATAACAACAACAAGAGCAAGCAGCAGCTCCAGCAGAGCCACGGCGCGGGGAGGGGGGAGCAGGGGGGTCGCGATGGCGGGCGGGCGGCGGGGCCCCAGCTCGTGCGGGTCCCGGACCGGCCCGCGGCCGCCCCAGTCTCGCAGCGCCCTCCCGGACGCGAGGACCCTCGCCGGCGCGTGCTCCGCTACGTCGGCGGCCTGTCCGAGCCCGGGGCCCCCCAGCAGGGCCGCAGCGTCGAGGACCTCGACCTGCTAGCCTCCGTGGCGCGCGCCGTCCCCGACCTGGTGCCGGGGCTGCGCGGCGACCTCGACAGCTACCGCGTGTACACCGAGGCCGTCCGCCGGCTGCAGTCGCCCGGGCGCCGGCCTCGGCCCGCGCCGGCCCTCGGCCACGGCCACCCCGCGGGCAGGGGCAGCGTGAGCGACCACTACAGCAGTGACTTCCTGCTGAGCTGCGAGTCGGAGATCGGCGAGGAGGTCTTTGACGAAGAGACGGCCTCGGCGGCCGGCCGGTCCGGGCGCAGCACCTTCTGCGAGACGGCGGGCGACTCCGGCGTCGAGTCGACCCACAGCATGCAGTCCTACAGGTGAGCGCCACCGTCCTCCTCAACCACCAATCTGGGACCTGATATCGGGAAAAAGGGTGCGACTGTGCGAGATTGGGCTCTGGAAGTGGAAGAAATCGAGTCCCTTCCTCTCTTTTCTTTTTTTTAGTGGTTTCGTGGGGGGGGGGGGATATCAAGCACAGGGAAACCAAGCGACTTGTTAAATGTACAAGCAATGCAACGTTCATGGAAACCAAATGCAATCGAGTTTTGAGCGCAATCTTGGGTGCGCAGCCATGTCGTGTGTGTGTGTGTGTGAGTGGGGAAGTAGTTGTACCCTTCATTTCCTGACCGTACAAGGGATGAGGAAAGTGGGGGGGGGGGAAGGTCGTCGATTGCTTGTTGGGAACCCCCTCAGTAGACTCTCTCGTCTTATTATTTGCGTTTACCTGCTCGAGTGGTGCGCTGCAGCACGTCCCAAACACAAACGATGCACCGCGTGTACGTCGAACCGCTAGGCCCCCGCCCCGCCCCGCCCCGCCCGAACGGGCCAGCCTGTAGCCGGCGTGTCCAGGAGGGGCCCGACCCGACTTGCCATATCGGGTGTGGGCCGGGCGCGTGGGCGAACGCGTCCGGAGGTAGGGGCGGGGCGGGGCGGGGCGGGGCGCTCCGCGGCCGGGACAGCGCGCGGCCCGGGCTCGCGGCGGTCGCGGCCGATGTGCCGGTTCAACTCTCGTACGCCACGTGCTGCAGCGTCGTGACACCTCGGCACGCGTGTGTCGCACGCGTGACGGGATCGCGGGTTGTCACACCGTCACACGCCTGCTAAGTGCTGACCGAGAAGGGGGCCAACATTACCTCGGTAATTTTGCGTGCCGTGAAATATCTTCGAGTCGAATTATATTCGAGTATATTCCTTGCGTGGAGTGCCAATGAAATAGTCGTGAATAGGAAGTGAAACTTATTTCCTTACTGAAAAGTCAGTTGTCGGGAATACCAGGTGAATCTGCCATTCAATACTTAGTTTTGCTTGAGTCATGGCGTATTTGGAAGTAGTGGACCCGTCACTCGTGTGACGGGCTCATTCAGTCTCCTGCTGTTACGGTTTCCTATGTGCACCGAGTCGAAACACAAAAATCGTCTCGGAGATATCAACGCAGACAGCTGACACAACTGGCGTCAAATTTCGATTTTTTTTTTGATTTTTTTTTATTTTTGTACGCCTGTAACGACTTTCCGCGGCGGAATCACCTTGCAAGTGGGTCCGTCATCCACTTTTCTCGGATTCATTCGGCGCAAGTTAGTTCACGACGGGAACGGGAGGCGCGGCGCCTGCGAGACTCGGGGTAGGCCACCCCGCAGCACACGCGTGCATCGCAGCCAAGTTGTTGCCTATCCGTCAGGCGCTACGAGAGCTTGCAGCAGAGGGGCTGAAGCAAAGAGAGAATCAGGGGCTGAAAGTGGCTGAAGGTAGGGAGTTAGGGTTGGAAGCCCTGGAAAGTTTCTGAAAAATTTCCGGAAAAAATTAAAAGTTTCCGGTAAAAAAATTGGGAAATTTCCCAGACTTTAGAAAGTTATCCGTTATTTTCGGGAAATTTTTAAAAATTCCTCAGAAATTTTCTGGAAAATTTTGGAAATTTCTTACTGTAGCTGAAGTAACGGCGAATGATGGACTGTGCACTATCTGGATGATGATCGCTTTCACTCGTTGTCCGAGGAGGGCGAGGATTCAGAAGGGGGGGGGGGTATTATGTTATGTTGCTCGTGTCCCTGAAGTCACTCTTTGTGTGTTTCCGGTAATAGTTTGGTATGCGACACGACCCCTGTCTTTGAAACCAAAGCAATAAGATAGAGAGAATCTGTGAGAAACTCGAAACACGGGGTTATGAAGAAATGCCAGAGTGTCTGGCGCGCCCCTGTGAGTGTGTGTGTGTGTGTGGCCTTGTTATCCGAACGCCGTCCCCATATCAGAGGCGACCTGTACAGTCTCAGAACTCGCGGGGCATAGCCTCGGGCGTCTGATGGCCATGGGACCATGATGGGGCAGCGAGGGAGTTCCTGGAAGGCTCCGGCGGGGGTCGACACATGAGAGACAGTCAATTAAAGTAGGAGGTGAACAATTTAATAAAATCCCGTGCGACGCAGGGCGACGGCGTGGGCGAGGCGGGGTAGTGTAGCGAAGGGTCGTCGCAAGTCCCGGAGTCCGAGGACGGAATGCGAGAGGGCGAAGCCAGAGGATCGCACCGACGACCCGCGCCCCGCGTAGCACCAGCCGTAACCCCGCGTGTCACGCTAGAAGGAACGTGACACGACGACACGAGTCACAAAATGATTTAAACGCGACGTCGTGATGTCGCACTGCGTTCGAATGACGGTGACGGCGTTTGGGCGAGGGCTTTAGGGCAGTGGCGCCAAGAGGGGGGTCACGGGTATGCAGCTGCATACCCGTGATCGCGAGTAAAAGGGGGTTGAGGGGGAGTAAAAGGGGGGTAAGAGAGAGTAAAAGGGGGGAAAGGGGTTGAAAAGGGGGGGAGGAAAGGGGAGGGAAGAAGAAAGAGGAAAAAGGGAAAGGTAAAAGGGGGTTAAACGGAGTAAAAGATGGTTTTAAAGGGGGCTTGCATACCCGTCCGCAAGAAGTCTTGGCGCCACTGCTTTAGGGTGCTTGCCTGGGTTACCCGCTGCCACCCGGGAAGACCTGTTAGATGGTTCCTCCTATATGTGTTTGCCCCCCCCCCACCCCCCAAAAAAAAATAAACAAAAAAAAAACTGCAGGGACTTTAAATCTAAACCATTCCTGCAAACAATAGTGCACACAGGTTACTCGAGTGCAGGTGCTGGTACCTGTTTCAAGAACGCACTTGATTGCAAAGTACCTGCTTCTTTGGTCATTTTTTTTTTCATTTTTTTGTCGTGAACCTTTTGTTGCAGCTGTGCTTACCTGTGTGTGTCGTCTGTTGCAGGGGCCACCCGCTGCCCCAGATCCAGGTGGGTCCGCTGGGGGTGGCCGCGCTCGCCTCGCGCTCCCCGAGCCCCGTGGACGCGCGCACCTACTCCAGCTCGTTCCCCAGGCGGGCGGGGGGCCGGGCGCCGGAGGGCAAGGGGGCCGCGCGCGCCGGCCGTGGGGGCAAGGGCAAGCAGGGGCAGCAGCAGGGGCAGCAGCAGGTGCAGCAGCAGGTGCAGCAGCAGGTGCAGCAGGTGCAGCTGACGCAGCATGCGCAGCTGGCGCAGCAGGTGCCCGTCAAGCAGGCCGGCGGCAGGCAGGCGACGTCGCGCCACGAGTCGCGGAGGGAGGCGGCCGCCGCGGCCTCGGGGGGCACCCTGGGCCGGGTCAAGAAGGGCGACAGACACGTGGGCAAGCAGGGCGGTGGCGGCGGGAAGCAGGCCGCCGCGGGGGCGGTGGGGGAGCAGGGCGGCGGCGTCAGGGAGGACGCCGCCGTCGGGGCGGGGGGCACCGCGGGGCCGCCGAGGAGCTACTCGGCCGACAGCACCGTCCGCCGCTCGCGGTCGCGCTCGCGCTCACGCACCAACAAGGACCACGACTCGGACAGGGAGCTGTCGCCCGTCAGCTGGGTCGGCGGGACGGCCGCGGGCGTGTTCCTCTGCAAGGCCGGCTGGATGCAGGTACGTCCGCCCCCCAGGTCGCCGTCGTACGGTGGTGCCGCCCCGGCCGTGGGTCGCAGCAGGTACAGGTCACAATTATTGTTCCGACCCTTTTTTTCGGGACTTCTTTGCGCAAATATCAAAATAATGAAAATTTTCTATAACGCGTA